TATATTTATAAATATCTTTAGTTTAAACACTAAGGAATTATAATTATAAACTAATAAATATATACCGTTTATTTATTTTAAAAAATAAAGAAAATAATAGTTAATATTATATTAATATATAATAAATATTAATAAATAAAGTATAAATAATATAAGTTATATAGGATACTATAACTTTTATTAGTTTTAAAGTTACTTTAGGAAGTTATTATATTTAATTATATTATAAATCTACTACTATTATAAGAACTTTTTATAAAAGTTATTTATAATAGTATTTTTATAATAATAGATAAATTTATAAAATAAATATACTTCCTACTGTATAAAAAGTTATATAATATAGAAGATTTTATATATACCTATATTAGGATAATAATAGCTAATTATAGCTTACTAAAAGAAATTATCTTAAACAGAAGATAAACATTTACCTTTAAGTTTTAATAAAAGTTAATAGTAAGATTTAAAGTTAACTATAAATTTAGTACTGCCTACTACTTATAAATAAATAGATAAATAAAAAAGATAAATTAAATTATTAAATAATATTTATAATATTATATTAATTTTAAATAGAATAATTAGGTTAAAAAATTACCCTTCGTTTAGCTTTATTATAATAATATAGAATTTAAATTTACTAAGTTAATATTATTTTATATATTTTATAAATATATACTTTTAATATATAGACCCCCCTTTAAAAAACTAAATATTAATAAAGTATAGATATAAGTAGAATTTATAGTTAATCTATATAAAGAATTATATATTTAACTTAAACTTATATAAGACTGTATAAAACATTATGTAAACTAAGATAAAATTAAAGGATTAAACTTTTAGGAGGGAGATATAATTTACTTAATTTAATATTTACAAGGCTATAAAATATTAAATATTAAAATAAACTAATTAAATAATAAGTTAAACTTTAGGAAAATTAAATTATTTAGGATTTTAAAGAAAATTAGAAAAATTAATTATAAATTTAAAATATTTAAAAATATAAAACTAAAATACCTAGTGTTTTATATATTATTATTAGAAAAAGTATAAATTAATAAGGAAATAGAAGAACTAATCTTAAATAAAATTATAATACTTAAAGAAAAAAAAGATTAAGATATAAAAGAAGTATTTGCTATATACTAAAACTTAGAATATAATAATAGAATTAAATACTTAGTCTAATAGGAAAATTATAGATTTATTTATAATATTTAGGAATTTATTAAAAGTTTTAATTTTTAAGCACTAATAGAAAAGTTTTATTAAAAACTTAAAATATATTACTAAAAACTATATTTTAATTAATTATATTAACCCTGCTGGAAGCTTATATAGTAATAACTGCTTTAAATTTAGCCCTTTAAGCTTTATTAAATTTATCTAAGCTTTTTAGACTATAATTAACTATTTCTATACCCTATAATACTAAAGATTCCTACTGGGTATAAATATAAAATAATTTAGCTAAAGCTTTAGAAGCTTTATACTAAAATTCAGTTAGCTTTTTTATAGCTTTTTTTTCTTTAATGTATAACTGTTTATCTTTAGAGGAAATATAATTTATTATAATAAAAAGTTAATAAAAAAACATTTATTTAATAAAGAAAAATACTTATATATAATTATAAGAATTCTATTTTTATTATAGGAATGACCCTAATGTATATATTCCTTATACTTAAAAATATTATTTATTATTTTATATTAATTATTTATATTATATTTTTTATAAAAAGAATAAAGTATAATAAAAAAGCTTAGCTATTTAATAATATTTACTAAAGTAAAATATTTATAAGTTTTTTATAATAAAGGTTTAGAAATATAACCTAATATAATATTAATATAAAAGTATAGAATAAGTAGAAAGAAGATTATAGATTAAAGAGATTAAGTTAATAGCTGCTTTATATAATTAACTTTAAAAATAAGGTTAATAGGAGGGAGGATTATATTATAATTTAACTTTTTAAGGCTAGGAAAATATATACCTTAAAATAAATCTTAGATTAATTAATTAATTATAAAAGGATTGCTTATATATAACATCTATAATAAATTACTACTGTAATTTATTATAATCTAAGAATACTATAATTTATATATAATCTAAAATAAATAACTGGATATATAAGTTTATTTTATTATAATTATTTAAATAGTTTAAATAGCTAGTCGTTAATAAAGTATTAAGACTGAGTATAAGTTATACTTTTTATTTTACTTTTATGCATTTATAATTATAACTGTTTAAAAACTACTTTCTGTCCTTTCTGCTAATATAAACTTATAACTTAGGCTTATTACCTTAGGAACCCCTACCCTATATTAAGAATAGGGATTAGGACGTTATAATTATTTTTTATTATATAAATATATAAATTACTTTAAATTTAATTCCTTAAATAGTTAATTATTTATATAAAAGTTATATTATTATTATTATTTATTAAAAAATATATAAGTTATTTTAAACTTAACTATTTAAACAGTTAATTATTTATATAAAAGTTATATTTTTTTTATTATAAAAGTAAATAAATTATTTTAAACTTTTTATTATTTAAATACTTTTAATTATTATTTATATAAAAGCTATATTGTTACTAAATAAAATTTTAAAAATAAATTAATTACTTTAAATTTAAATACTTTAGCTATAATTTATATAGTTATATTACTATTATCTTTTATTATAATAGTAAATAAATTACCTTAGATTTTACATATAAAAAAAAATCGTTAAAATTTAAAAATTTAACACTTTTAATAGTGTTATTAGTTACTTATAAGTCTATATACTAAACAAGCTTGTACCCCTAATATCCCTATTTTTGTTACAATGTTCCACTGTGACCATGGGTCACAATTGAAAACTCAAAAGGTCAAAGTCCATAAGTTGCCGTCCCCTCATTACTAAACTAAAAGAAACTCGCGATACCTATTTTGCATTCTATGGTAACAGCTCATCGTTCATAACAATCTGACGTTATCTGAGCATCATTCACTCCTGAGTCTTCGTTCTTGGTTAGGCTTCGTCGCTCAAATTCAATTGACAGTTTCAAGGACAGAATCACCCTGCACCGGCTTCTCGCTGTTTTCAACAGTCGCATTACCACCTTCGGAGCTTTCTCCCGCGCTTGAACTGACGGCAGCCGACTGAGTGTCCTCGTGCAGTGCCTTCTCACCCGCGGCAGGCGCATCAGGACGAAGCTTCTCCCATTTGAAAAACGCGATTGCGACGCAGCCCGCGGACATCATGGCAGTAGCCAAGGCAAAGGCTCCCTTCAGAGCCTTAGTATATCCGTCCAGGATGAAAGGAAGCTCTTCAGCTGTAAAAGCCTGTCGCAAGCCTGACGCACCGGTAGCGAGGACAAGCGTCGGCGAAATGGTTGGGGCCGTCTCAGCAATGTGCTTCAGAAGGAGGTTGCTGAATATGGATTGCGCAGCGCCGACGGAGAAAGAGCCACCAAGGAGCTGGAAGAGGAGGGTCATGGCGGAGGTAGAGCCCATGTCTGCCATGTCGACAATGGCTGTATTGGCCATGATTGGAATCTGAGACACAAAGCCCGTCATTGAGCCGGCGAGAAGCTGGTATCCAGCCCATTTCGCGGTCGGAGTGTTGATGTCCATCGTGTAGATCAAACCACCACCCACGGCGCAGAGGGCGGCGCCGGGCGCCAGGAATGGGAGCCACTGGTTTGTCGCGGTGAGAAGGGCTCCCGAGGCCATGGAGAAGAGGCCTCCGACGAGGAAGGGAAGGTTGTGCACGGCTGACTGGAGAGGAGTATCATTCAGCAGCGACTGAAAGTAGATGGGAAGGTAGTATACGAGGATGAACTGCCCCGACGAATTAAGGAAGACGACGAACTGATTGACCAGGATGCGGCGTACTTTGAGGAGTCGAGGGACAATGGACGCCCTCTCACCCATCCAAACCTCATTTATGCCGCATACGACGGCGAGGACGAAAAACCCGACCAACGTGCCAATGACATCGCTGTTGGACCACGACTTGGAGAGGCCGCCCCATTGCAACGCCAGCGAAAAGCAGGCGACAGATGCCAGGACCAAGGCGCTGCCGACCAGGTCTAACTGTAGGATCGTCTCCTTCCATGTGGCCTGCAGGGGCTTGGCGTGATCTGGATTGCGGTAAAAGGGGATGAGGAGAGCCAACGCGACTCCTCCAATGGGGAGGTTGATCCAGAAACACCAGCGCCAGGTGAGGCGTTCAGTAAAGGCGCCGCCGACAATGGGGCCGACAAACGAGGCCAGCGTGTAGGTAGCACCCAGGACACCCATGAAGGCAGGGCGGAGCTCCTCTATGACGGTGTAGCCGATGATGACGAAGGTGCCGGTGGTCAGGCCGGCGGCGCCCATGCCGGCGATGGCGCGGCCAACGATGAGAGTCGTGCTGTTCTGGGCGACGGCGCAGACGATACTGCCGAGCTCGAAGATGACAATGGTGAGTGCGTAGGACCATTTCATGTTGAAGTACTTGAAGACCTTGCCCCACGTTGTCTGGAAGGCGGCGAAGGTCAGGAAAGCCGACGAGCCGTACCAGCCCATGTCGTCTAAGGAGTTGAACTCATCCGTGATCTTGGGAATGGCGGTCGCGAGGATGGTCGTGTCGAGATTCGCGGTGAGCATGCTCATGAACAAGACCACCATGGTGGCGGTGAGCCGCCAGTTGCTGATGCCGGTACCAATGTTGCGCATCTTGGCTGTAAACGTTGAGGTTTGGTGAGCATAGTACGATTTGGTCGAGGTTGGGGCTGCGACACGCTATATAAGGCTCATTATGTCGCCGGGCCTGGGGGCGGCTCGGCCTGAAACTTTCCAGGATGGCAGCCGTCGCCCTCCCGCGAGCCAGACGCGTGCCCCCCGGGTGTGGCTGCAGGCCGCAGAGCCCCCTGTCCCGTTTGGGATATGTCTCCATGGCCAGGGGAGTGGGGCAAGACGAATCGGATACTTTAATTCAACGGGCCGATCTGCCATTCAACGGGCCGATCTGCCATTCAACGGGCCGATCTGAATTCAACGGGCCGCCGCCATACCGTATACGCCTTCGAAAAATCGGACGGTGGGCCGCCTCAGCTGTTGGGCCACTATTTACCAGAGACGGGAATCAGCTAGCGGCGTTCCCACTGGCTAAATTTTTCGATGGAATCCGGCAATTCCCCCGGCCGGCAGAGAGTGGCCTGTGTTTGCAGGCTGAGTCAGACGGCACATTACAAACAGGGTCCAAAAGTCTGCGAACGCCCCCTCACCCTGCATTTGTTATCTCCACACCACCCTCAACTTTAAATTACAATTGCATAAGGATGAGATAGCCGGGTCGCAGGGGTCGGATAACAGCTTCGAAGTCAAGTTCGACCGCACGAGTTATCGAGAATCCTCAGTCGTTATCGACGTCCCGCCCGCCATCTTCGCAGGGATGGCAAGCTTGGTGGCGGCGCAACGCCTCACACTGCATCAGCTGGCCCTAGCAGCCATTGCATTGACGCTGCAGGTCGACTATGACTAGATCGACCTCGTCCTAGGAGGGCCACACTTCAACCGCAAGACACTCAAAGCCCAAAAAACCGTAGGGCTGTTCTTGGAGCCGCTGCCGATCCGTATCCGCGGAGATGAGTCAAACAAGACACAGACGGTTGTCGATTTCCTGCACCAGGTCCAGCGTCACAGCCAGCAGGCGCTGGGTCATGCAGTGGCCTGGAATCAACTGCTGTGTCACCTCGGGGTTGTGGCAGACTATCCCAATCATCCTCTATTCGATGTCATGGTTACCTTCCATGACTACAGGGGTCACCAGCTTTTTCAGCTGCAGGAATCCTAACCTCTCCCTGTTTAGACCAAAGGGTCTAAATTCAAGCTTATGTTTGAGTTTACCGCTGTTTCGGCTGATAAATTGATGCTGCGAATCGAGCATGATGTAGAGAGCTATCCATTAAAAGTCATCCACCAGATTGCGGCGCTGCTTCTCACGACTCTACAGCTTCTAGTCCAGGGAGGATCCTATACATCGCTACGTACAGAGTTGCGAGAGAGCTTTGCCAGTATGAAGACGGCTCAAAGTGGAATTCACGAGGTATAAGACAGTTTAGTGCCATTGGGACACCCCAGTCTAGAAGACAGAAATAGGTTAAATTTAGCAGTTAAATATTTTGAGTCAATATATTATTATTTCGTCGATTCATGATGTAGACCAATGCTTTTTGATCGTAGAGCTTAGCGAGCAAGAACCTTTGCCTACAAGAGAATTAAAGTAATGCCTACAATATCTTCAAAATAAATTATTCTTTCTCTCAAAATTTGCTACCTATTAATAGAACAAAAGAAGAAGGATATTATGGCTGTTGATCTATGTCTTGCGTCTGCTTGTCCCACTTTTTCTTGTATTGCCCGTTCTGCGATAGTAGCTGCACATGAGTTCCTTGCTCTATAATACGTCCATCGTGGAGAAAAACTATCTGATCGCAGTGAACAATTGTGGATAGCCGATGCCTATAACGTTCAAAGAATTAGAAAACATTCAAGAAGTCAGACGTTAACGTAGCAACAACTTACGCTATTGTGATACTGGTTCTTCCCTCATTAATCTTAGCAAGTGACGTTTGGATGGCCATTTCAGTGGCTGAATCCAGCGACGCGGTAACTTCATCCATCAGAATCATCGTGGGTGATTTTAAGATAGCTCGGGCAATGGCAATCTATGTCCGTAGATGACATGGATGTCAGTCATTGATGAAGATCTCCACTACAGGTGTTCAAAGAGGCTCGGCCTAGTCACTTACCCTTTGTTTCTCTCCCCCTGAGAGACGCAGTCCGCGTTCCCCAACTTGGGTCTCATATCCATCTGGTAGAGCCATAACCTTTTCATGGACACTAGCGGCCTTGCAAGCGTTGTATACGTCTTCTTCAGACGCGGTGGGATTGGCGTAAAGTAAATTATACATTAGAGGATCGTTGAAGAGCATAGTCTCTTGCGGTACCACACCGAAATGGTCCCGCAGACTTCGAATTGTGATATCCTCTGTGTTAATTCCATCAATCAAGATCTTACCAGAATCGACATTATAGAAGCGAAACAGCAACCGCAGCAAAGTGGACTTGCCGCTCCCACTCTCTCCAACAATGGCAATAGAAGTGCCAGGTAGAATATCTAGGCTGATATCGTAGAGCGCCTGTTGCCGGGGATCGTATGCGAATGAAACCTTTTCAAATTTGATGTGACCTTTGCAATGGTGTAAATCGTATGCTGTTGGCTTGTCAATCACCGATGGTTTTTCCTCGAACTGTACTCAGTGAACTCGGTTAGTCTTCGACATATCTCAAAGCTATTTCGCAGAACTCACCGAAACCAACATGCGCTCCGCACCAATCAAGTTATTTTGAATTTGAGTGTAGAAGCTCCCAAAAAATCCTAGTGGTGCCTGGAGTTGAGCAAGATACGCAATCAACGAGACGGACAAGGCCACATCCTCGGCCCCGCTGGAGATATTATACGCAGACAGAAGACTGACCACCGCCACTCCGAGAGTGAAGATAAGGTTCTGCACGGCATTTAACATATTCAGGGAGAAAAGAACGGAAAACTCGGCTATTTGGAACTTGGCAACCCGACTCGCAAATCGAGATTGTTCAGCCTATAGAGCACCGTTATAGTGGATTACTTCGTAGGACATGATGGCGTCGGTTCTAATACACGCATCAGATAAAGAACCAAAGCACAGAGATACTAAAAGCAAGGGAAAAGATAAGGCAGACGTACTTGATTGCATCCATTTCTCGGTCCCGATTGACCATTTCGCGCCGAGCTCGACCTCTGTATTTAGCCATATAGATGGTCACAAACAAGTATGCGCCACCCATTGTCAAGATGATGAGAGAATAAAAAGGGTCAAATTTGACGAGAGAATACATGGCTGCAACCCCGACGTCAGCCACCATGGGGAACAGCTAGAATAAGAGAGAATCGACAAATGTATTAAGCGCACTTAGTAAAGAAGTGCGCTCATAACCTCTCCGAGTCGCTTGCCAAGGTGAAATTCAAGAGACAGAGACATTACATGTTCGAGGGCGGATTGGGTGAGATGACGGCAAGTGGCTTGCCCAATTGGAATCCATAGCAATGCCCTGATGGATGCTAGCACACACTGCTGCCCTTGGACGGCTCGGCAGATGATATAGATGAAGAGCTCCTTATATGGTATGTATCCAGACCCCAGCTTGGTCATGACCTGACCGAGTTGGAAGGGAACAAGAACATTTACCACGCGCTGAGCGATCAATATCAGAACGCAAACGAGTGCACGAATCTGCAAAGATAATGTATCAGATGGCCTGATTGACTCATCAGGCGATTTTGTTAGTTATCCTAGTCGGTTTAAAGTACAACAAATGGTGCAATATCTGCTTACCAAATCCGTGGTAGGAGCTGTCCCAATCCCACTAGGTAATCCAACCAATTCGTTGACTGCGTATCCACCCGAGTGGCAGGCGACGAAGGAGAGGGCGTCTGTATGCTTCCATAGCCATTCTCCGACGAATTTGAGCTTAATATACTCTCGGTTAATGGGCCTTTGGATGGTTTTATGGGCAAGTAAAACAATATACCGGCTCCTGAGAAGCATATTACACGAGCGTAAGCTAATAGAAGCAGCGTGATTTTTGGGGCACGCGTTTTTCCGTCGAGAGAATTGCTGTTCATAAGCAGTATTAAATGGAAAGCTTGCACTATTGCAAGGCATGTTTCGAAGACCAATGCAACTAGCCAAGTGCATGCATTGATGACCGAAGGAACATACGGGGTATCGGGATCAGGGAGCAACGAGGCTGCGAAAAAGAGAAACACGGCAATTTGAGACGCCTGTACTGGCATTAATATCCTCTCCCATCCCGGCTTGTCTGCTCTCCGCACTACTTACAAGTTGTGATGTTGATGCCCAGACGAATTGGGCTGTATCGATCTTGGCAGCGCTAGAGAGAATGAAAAGGAGCGTAGAAAGCTATCAAGGTAGTTAGCTCTTTGTTCTCGAGTGGTTGTGTGGCTTTTCCTACCAGATCAAAGCAGAACAAGAGGGTCAGCCAGAAGGCCCATTTGTCCTGACGACCGATATTTCACGGTTTGTCGTCGCATCGACTCGTCCATGGGGGATTTTAACAATGATGCTGATGGTGAGATATGTGCCTACAAGAGCCAATGGATACACTGGATCTAAGATCCTAACAACCGTAGGAATCGATGTCATCGTGATATCCAGCGGCAGGAATTTTCCCAATTCCACACAACAGACTGGAGTTGATACTTGTTTGTATTTGCTGTCAATGGTGGAGAACGCTTTATCGGATGCTAGGACCTTTCAGGAGGGTTGATACCCCGCGCGTGTCGGGTGCCGGTCGGGATCCGAATCCAACCAAATAATAGAAGAGCAACAGCAAGGGAGAAATAGGGCAATAGCATCCATGCCATAACTTGATCCAATAATTTTTCTGCTTCACCATGGCATCTTCGCCTACAGAGGATACGGCGCCTTTACTACGAACACGCCTGCTCGCTGACGGTACTCAGCATGACGGTAATAGTACCAGATATTCTCCGCTGAGCACAGAGCTAGCTCGCGTGCTACCTGTTCCACTGTTGTGTTCGGTGGCATTGCATATGACGGTGGCGCCGACTATATGGGTCTATGCCTACCTATTCTGTGAACACCCAGAGCAGTGCAGAGACGAGGAAAAGCGTCAATACGCAAGCTCAGTAGCGACTGCGACCGCTGTAGCCAATGCTGCAGGCCTACTAACTCTGGGCTATCTCGCGCGCCTGGTCCACTGGGATGCACGAGCAGGATTAATGGCTTGGCTCCTATGTCGAGGGCTAGGCGTTCTAGGTTTGGCGATGAGTAGTCAGTGAGCCTCTTTTGATTCCTATGTTGTGATTGAAAGATAGTTAATACTGGGATTCTGCAGTATATCTACGTAGTTTCCCCTGCGCTCTAGGTGGCCAGATCCTTCAAGGTCTGGCGTCAGATAACCTACTACACTTCAATCTCAACTCGATTTACGCCCGTGCATCTTCTGCTGAAGCTGTATCCGTATTAATGGGTTTATCTTTAGCTTTTTATATGGCAGGTATGGCCATCGGCCCCGCTATCGCCGGATTCTTTCCATCCTTTGAGTGGACGTTCATCGTGGCAACAACTCTTTTTGGTGCCATTATTCCGTACATCTGGACAGTTATGTCAAGCGGCAATCCGAAAAATACGCACAACGTCGGAAAATATCAGTCACCAGCCAATCCAGAGTCTGCCCCAGAGGTACCTTCCAGCAAATACAAGTACTTGGCAGCCGTCCTTGCCCCAGCAGGACTCTTTTACGAACGTCCTAGAAGTCTTCTTCAGGGACTCTCATTATTCTTCTACAATATGGTTCAGGGCTATCTCTTCAATCTGATATTTGTCTTTGCTTCTGTACAGTTTAGCTTTACGTCAAAGGAAAATGGGCTCCTCCTCTCCCTCATTGCCATTGTGGCAGCCTCGTATCTCTTGGTATCACTGTTCATCATACCACGTCTCGCCCTTTATTTTGGATGGTCTTTCACAAAATCAGCTACTATCCGCCCTTCTGCAATGGGAGAGAATTCTTCTAATAACCCAACAATGCGCCAGGGGAGAAGTTGGGATTTGGGAGCTGGCGCTGTCTCGATACTCATTCAGACAGTGGCTGTAGCAACCTTATCCCAGGTCCGCCAACCCTCACTAGTCTATCTAGGAGCATCTTTAACAGCATTAGGTCTAGCAGCACCTTCTTTTATTAAAAGCTACTTTGTTGCTTCCTTGCCAGATCCTACACAAGGAGTGGCTGCGCTAGCACTCATGGAAACCAGCGGAGGCCTTATTAGTCCTTTAGTACTGGGTGCCTGGCAGGCTCAACACCCAGGCAGCTCAGTTTTCTATTTAGCATCAGGGATTTTGGGTACATCATTGTTTTGTTTAGTAATAGGAGCATTTTTGTAAGGTTATATATATTACGACCTGAGTTTTGCTCGTTTGTTTGTTTTCTATGAACGACCCTGCTAATAAAGCAGTATAATCTCATATTGTGTAACGAACCGGGTCCTATATATTTGGTATGATTTCATTTAATCATAGGCGCCTAGGGAGCGCAATCAATCTTAACTACATAGTTGTTTTATTTATTTCCTTATTTTAAAGGTTTAAATTCTTTATCATTTAATTTACAATTATTCAATAGCTATTATTTTTATAATAGACCAAGTCCTATAAGTCACTATAGGTTAGCTGTTCCCAAAAGACAAAGTTCTAGGCTTTAAGTTTATGTTAGTGGATCGGTTAGGTTGGCAACAGGCAGTACAAAGATTACAAAGATAATAGAGTGGTAATGAATTTTAATCTAATTGCTATATAACAACTGGCTATCTAAGCTATCTGAACAAGTGATATAAAGTAAACTTATATATTCAATTGGCCTAGATGGGATCGCTTAGGGTTGTTTTAAGGCAAATTGGATTAAGTGATGGATGAGTATTGGTGAGATAGTTGCAAAGGCCAGAAGGGAGGAAGAGCTCGGCCATGATAGACGTGGCAAGCTGGAAGACAGTATTATACTACTACTATTATTATTATTCAAGATATACATTGGAAATAACACGGACCTAAGTGGTAGCTTTTACGACCTGGTCCTTCGTAACAGTTAGATCCCTTATAAGCAGCTGGTTCCGTTATAATAATTGCTACAAATGCAATTATTAGCTTAATTTTTTGCCCTGTTGGTTTAACGGTATAACGGACCGTTGAAGTAGCTTAGTTAAAATACAACTATAAACAGGGGGCTCCCAATAATAAAAATAGTTTCAACAATTGACAATAGAAAAGTAGGATTATTATATAAATTTTATTTCTTTTTACTTTTATTAATTTTATTTCCTTTTTTATAGCCCAATGCTTTATTTTAAAAAAAAAATTATTTTATTAATATTTATTATAACTTAAATAAAAATATATACTTTATTAATAAAATATAAAAAAAACATTTAATTAAAAATAAAAAACCTTAAGTTTATTTAAATAAAATTAATTTTAATTATAAACTTTAAAATAAAATAATACATAAAATTAATAAAAGAAATATTATAATATAAATTATTTAAAATAATTAAATATATGTATTTAGTTTATTAATTTTGTTTGAATAATTAAATAATTAATCATTAATAAAATAGTAAAATTAAATATAAATTATATTATTTATTTTATTTTATATATTTATAATTATAATTTTTTTTAAAATTATTTTTTATTTCTTTTATTAATATAATTTTATAATTAAAATATAATATTATAAAAATATTTATTTTATATAAAAATAAAAATTAAAATAAAATAAAATAAATATTAAAAAAATATTAATTATTTTTAAAATAATAAAATATTATATTTAATTTTTAATATAATAGTATTAATAAATTAATTATTAATTTTAATATATTTAAATTTAATAAAAAAATAAAATATTTTAATAAAAAATAAAATATTTTAATAAAAAATAAAATATTTTAATAAAAAATAAAATATTTTAATAAAAAATAAAATATTTTAATAAAAAATAAAATATTTTAATAAAAAATAAAATATTTTAATAAAAAATAAAATATTTTAATAAAAAATAAAATATTTTAATAAAAAATAAAATATTTTAATAAAAAATAAAATATTTTAATAAAAAATAAAATATTTAAATAAAAAATATTTTAAATTAAAATAATATATTTAAAAAATATATTATAATATTATATTTAAAATAGATTTTAATTTAATAAAACTTTTATTAATATAGTTAATATAAATAAAAAAATTATTAATTAATTAAAAAAATATTAAAGTTTTTTTTAAATTATTAATTTTTATTTATATAAAATATAAATAATATAAAATATATAAAATATTTAATTAAAAATTATTTTATTAATATATTTATAAAAATAAAGCTATTTTTATAACTTTTATAATATATATTAACGTAAAAAAAAAAACTATACTTTTATTAATTATATTTATTTATAGTTTTACTATAATATATACTTTTATTAATTTAGGCTATAATAAATTATAATAAAAAATAATAAAATTATATTATTAAAAATAATAATAATAAATTAAAAATTTTTTTTAATATTATATAAAATTTCTTTTTAAAATATTATAATTATAAAAAATTAAATTATATAATTAAAAACTTTTAAATTTTAAAATAAATATTTAAATATTTTAA